TAAAATGTGAGAGCTTTTGAAATGCATTGTACCAAATGTTAACATGGAACATGAAGCTGCGGTGGCTGCTTGCCACCTGTGTTTTGTTAAGGCGACCAATCAACTTTGGAAAACATATCTAAAACATAAATAGATAAAGCTTAGAATGATTAACATGTTCCGTAATATCCCGCACAGTCGTAACTGGAAAATATAACACATGATAAATGCACAATAATCATTTTCATATTATTAACATTAAAAAAAAATCAACATTTCGATATTTAGATTACAAAACTATTCAATTACTGAAGTTATTTTTCTATTTATTTTTTTGAGAAAATAAAATCTTCGTAATTTTTCCACATATTAGATTCGGTTTTTAATCAATGATTGTCTTCGCATTTTTTGATCCAAGTGTAACCGGTTTTGTCATACACAGTCGACATCTAACCCTGGAGACGCCGACACTTTGAAACACCTCCCTCTCCTAAATATAATCTGGCGATTGAACTGGGCCCTGGGACTTATAATTCCTATTTGAATGGTGGAATTTGTGTCACCGAGTGTTGATCGCTTGTTGTGCTGTCCTGGTGGGGTTGAACGTTACTCAGTCATAACAGACGTAGAGAAACGAAACCTTACAATTCAGGTGCAATTCCTAAGACGAACTATCAACATATCGAGAAGACATGAGATCAGACTTGATGAAGTATGGGGCCAGTAGAAGCACTAGATTTCTTTACAAACAACAAGTGAAATGTTTCAGCTATCAACCAAGCTGCCTGTATAGACAGTACAACACTAAGAAGTGATGTGTAGACCATATGGAAATCAAAAGATAATGAAAGGTCGGCAATGTGAAAGAAAAAGAAATGGAGTCCCTGGCAACCCAGTTACAAAGCATACAAACTGACACTCTGCCACTTGCTTCCTTCATACCGCAAAGGTGACGTTCAGGTGTGTCACTGTTGTAGATATATGAAATTTTTTCCTGGGACTACGTGTGCCCAAAGTGATGTACGTATGTATGTAAGTTGTACCCCACTAGGACATCACACATAGCGATAAACACCTGGGAACACAGAGTGCCACCATGCGGATGAGGATCACCCGTGAAGAGGACCCAGAAACCCAGTTCAGCCATTTGTTAGGCCATATTTATAGCCCGGCTATATTTAGGGCCCCCGGCAAAAGCCAGGGAGGGGCTTCAAATAACGAAAAATTGCATCCCACATGGGAATGACTAGATACCCAAAGTGATGAATGAATGAATGAATTTCTACCCCACCAGGACATCACACAAGCGATAAACACCCGATGACACAAAGTGCCACCATGCGGATGAGGATCGCCGTGGAGAGGTCCCAGAAACCGCGTTCAGACATTTGGCCATATTTATGGCCTGCCTATATTGCGGCCCCTGGCAAAAGCCAGAGTAGGGCTTCAAATGACAAAAAATTTCGTCCTGAAAAGGACGAAACTGGATTCTAGGTTTATCCAAAGTGATTGTCAATGAAAATCCAATAGCTGCAGTAACATAAACATCATCGTCGTCACCATCATCACCACGAACATTATCATTATCATTGGAAAAAGGGGACGAGGGAAAGATTAGCCCCCTTAGAAATGTTCTTAGGGGTTTCAGTGTGCCTCTTTACGTAGAATATCCTTTTCCACGCCTTTAGGCGTATGGGGTACATACGACCAGGCCTATATAAGGTGTCCCTCAGTCTAAAAAGGGTGCTTACCGATAAATTCATATTGTATCATATATGGGAGGTAATTAGGTAAGTCAGCAACGTAAAGACCACTTTCCACGCGGTCAGGCGTTTTGAGAATATCGGGCTAGACCTATATTTTATACACCAATCGGCTTTGGCGAGTGATTTGGTCAACATCACGCCTGCCACCTTTCCTTCCTAAGACTGCACCTGATACCAATTAAAGGCTGGGTCGACCTGAGAGGCAAGGTCATTTTTAGAGAAAGCTTGGTTCCGTGGGGACCCGAACCCACGAACTTTCGTTTCGCATGCGAGCGTCTAGCGGCTACATCGGCAACTCCCAGGTAATAAAGAAGGAAGCTTATAAAGTTATAGATGGAGCATTTCGAACTGGTTTCTTCTTCTTCAATTGGCTTGACTTTTGCGGATCTTTCATCTGCTGGGATGTCTATTTGATGTTTACAGCTTATAAAACGATTCTTCTAGTTATTCCTAAGGATGTCATAAGGGCTCTTTATCTACACTGTTCAAATAAAGAAACGCGTAAATATTAGATAACGCATAGATACTGATTAAAAAAAATTGTTTCCCCATATTTTCAAGATTTAAAATCTTTGAAATTTATTAAATGAAATTGTCAAACACAAAGAGTACTTTAGGGTTCAACTAATCGATTGATAGTTTTTTTGCATCTTGGATATCGATAGTTTTTTTTTTTTTTTTTTTTTAGACGTTTAGGCTTTCCCGTCTACCTTTCTTTTTCTTCGTCATCTTTTTCTTTTTCTTCTTCTTCTTCTTTTTTCTTCTTCTTCTTCTTCTTTTTCTTCTTCTTCTTCTTTTTCTTCTTCTTCTTCTTCTTCTTCTTCTTCTTCTTCTTCTTCTTCTTCTTCTTCTTCTTCTTCTTCTTCTTCTTCTTCTTCTTCTTCTTCTTCTTCTTCTTCTTCTTCTTCTTCTTCTTCTTCTTCTTCTTCTTCTTCTTCTTCTTCTTCTTCTTCTTTTTCTTCTTCGTCCCGAGCGACATATTGTATGGTGAATAAACGATGGTAAGAAGACGTCGAGCTCAACCTCTACCACGATAAAAAGATGTGTGCAAACGGGACATGAATTATTCATATATTGAGGTGGACTCGTGGGAACAAAATGCCACGGACTGTGATGTGTTGAGTGGGCACATCATAAAGGGAATGAAAAAAAAGGAAGAAATGACAGCAGAATGGATAAGAGCTGAGTGTCTGAGAAGAAATACACTAAATACAAATGTTGACAACAACGACCCTGAAATCCCATGATACAATTTTATAACTGTTGTGAACGCGGGCGGGTCTTGCTAGTCACACTATGAGTCCCATGAGGCTGTAAGTCCCACGCTCCCTGATTGCACAATATGAAATTATCATATAAACAGACGGAAAAAGTACCAACGACGTATAGTACAATTCTTATTGTGCTGAATGCGTATGATTTAATTAACGGAGGAGCACTTTTAGTGAGATGGTCATAAACTGTAATAAATAGAGGAGAACATATAGAAACGATTCTCACTGTGTTGTACGAGGTCCGACAATTAAGATATGAGACTGATTCCATACAAATTTAAATAATAAACAGTTGAGGATATAACCTGTATCTGATTCACAGTAAGCCCCTTGTGCATACATACAGCAAGTGGCATGATCTAACAAACACTGGAACGACCTCTGAAGTTCTTCTATTGTTATGGCCCTTAAAGTCGATGTTACGACCTGTGAATGTCATCAATGTTGTTAAAGAAGCGTCTTTTCAATCGTAACTTTAATTTTGGGAATTAAAAAAAATCACAGGGAGACAAATCTGGGTATTAGGGTGGAAGGCTGAGAACACACACTTGTTTTTGGGCCAAAAATATCTTGTTTGGATATCTCTTGGGTACTCAACCCACTGATATTTTGTGTCACCAGCCAACGAATGTGGTACAAACCGGCAAGCCACTTTTTTTTCTTGCCAAAATCTTGCACTAAAATGTTATGAACTGACTCTATATACACTTTAGATTCATCTGCCATCATCCCTTGCAGTAAAATGATGATCTTCTTGTATCCGTTCTCTGATTTTTGCAATGAGTTCATCATTACGAACAGAAATTTGACGTTCAGGTCTACGTGCATTAGTAATCATTTCCACATTAATTTTAGATCGTAAAAACCACCTGAAAATCTAAGCACGAGATAAACAATTATCCCCACAAACCTGTTGCACAATTGTAACTGTTTCAGTGGCGCTTTTTCTGAGTTTTAAAAATAATTTAATGTTAGCTTTTTACTCTGTGATAATTGCGTAACAATGCACCTCTGACTAGGTCAACAAAATTGTGGCTTATTTGTTGGCTGCTTATCGAACGGCTATGAAAAGTTACCAGATCATAGATGAATGTTTTCTCTTTAGATTCCATGCTTTACTTCATAAATGACATTTTTGTCTTGGCCATAATAAAATCAGTCTCATTACTTCATTGTCGGACCTTATATATTGGATATAATTAATGAAGAACGTATGCTTCTTAGTGACTTGTGTACCAAATACAATTAACGGAGGAGCACGTATAATACGATTCTTATTGTGTTGTATGCATATGATTCAATTAATGGAAGAGTGTATTGGATGTAATTACTGGAGAAATTAAGGTAAGATTCTTATTGTCTTGAGTATATGATGTATTTAAAAGAGGAGCCCTTATCGTAAGATTCTTTTTGCGTTGTGTATATTTCTTACTGAATGGTCGGCTTCTCGATACCACTGTCGAAACCCTGCTGGGATCGAACCCAGCACCTCGTTATTATGAAGGGCGTTCACAACGCCAAAGCAACAGATGCCCACGTTGTCAACAGTATGTGTGGGTAAATGTTTATTGCTAAATTTTCCTGTTTCGTCTCCAGGAGGTATCTTGTACAATTGTTTTTGTTTTGTTTTTTAAATATAATTTTGTAGAGGCATTTATGAAGCAGCACTCATGCAAATGTTTGTGAGCAATTTTTCGGGTCCTGTGAACATTGAAGATAAACAAAGTAGAAATAATAATGTTTGTTTCAATGGAAAACATGTTACACAAGGAAATAGGCAAAGTTAACATTTTACACGTACTTCCTTAAACAGGTTAAACTGAAACATCATATGAAAACTTTACACATGCAAATTAAAAGTACTTTGGCCATATCTCTAACAGGCATTTCATAATTGTGATTGTATAAAACAAATTATTTGTGTGTATTCAAGTACCCATAGGAATGCACAGCTTTTTTCATTGGAGTCGTCAGGTCAGTGTCATTCTCCATTAAAACGTGTCTCCGTCGTACTACCCGTCCTTCTCGAATAACTCGTCCTGAGGCTGTTGGATGGGGAATTCCTGCACCACGGCAGAGATTCTCTAAACGCTTTGCGAAAGCTGTCTCCCATGATTGTGTAGACAAAGGGATTGACACAGCTGTTCGTGTACGACAAGGTATGGGCGAAGATTTTGAAGTCGAACATGATCTGGCTCTTTGGGAAGTTGGGCATCAAGATGAAGCACAAGTTGAAGACGTGGATGGGCAGCCAGCTCAATGCGAATAGGATGACTACAGCGGCAACCATTTTGGCGACTTTCTTTCGGCGTTCAGCGATGGTGGACTCTCCGCCCATGACTGGTTCGGACGATTGTGAATTATGCTGGGTTGTGGAAGACATCAATGTGAATAATTAATAAAAGTTATGGTCAATGATGGCTGGAAGTAAAACTGGTACAGTAGAAAACTATGAGTGGTAGCAGCAGCAGTGATTATTTTATTAGTAGTAGTTACAGCAATTGTTGTAGTGGTAGTTTTAATACTATCAAAAACCGCAGAGGTGGTGACAAAAGAAAGCATGGTGGTGGGCCTTGTAAAGGGTCTAAGTATTCTTTAAGCGTCTAATAATATTAAAATGATGATGATGATGATGATAATAATAATAATAATAATAATAATAATAATAATAATAATAATAATAATAATAATAATTATTATTATTATTATATATCGAATGTCCATTCCATATAATAATATATTTGAAATGGTATGGTTTGTAAACATAAAAACTTTAAAATAGGTCTACAATACAGGTAAGTAGTGGAGTGAGAAACAGCCTGGTATCCTTAAGAATCCAAGAAGACTGCGCTTTCACAAACATAATTCTTAGGGGTGGTGGCGCTGAGGTTACCTATGAATCCAATTTTTCATCACTTCTGAGTAGCATTAGAAGTAGCATTAGTAGAAGCAGCAGCAGCTATAGTACTGGTAGCAAAGGTAGTTCTACTACTCGTAGTAGTTAGTAGTAGCAGCAGCAACATAAATAGTAGTAGCATAAGTTGTTCTACTACTTGTAGTAGTAGTAGTAGTAGTAGTAGTAGTAGTAGTAGTAGCGGTACCAGCAGCAGCAGCAGCAGCGGCAGAAGTAGTAGTAGTAGCATCAGTCGTACTACTACTACTAGTAGTAAGTAAAGTAAAGTAAAGTAAAGTTCCCTTTTCACGCCTTTCAGCGCATCGGGCATATGGGCAGAGCGTCCCATATTTTTACAGACCATCAGCATTCTGTGGGTAATGTGGTCAGCATTACGCCGGCTGTCTTTACTTTCCCAGGACAGCCCATCCTGGTACCCATTTTAGGCTGGGTCGACCTGCGACGTCCCATACCACGATAAAAATCCACGCAGCCTGCAGTGGGTTTCGATCGCGGTATGCTGGCTTACGAGTCGGACTCGCAACGCCTTAGCCACGGACGCCGCACTACTAGTAGTAGTAGCAGTAATATTAGCAGTAGTTGCAGCAGCGGCAGCAAAAGTAATAGTAGCGTTAGTAGTAACAGCACATGTATTGCTCGTAGTAGTGGTAGCAGTAGCAGCAGTATTAGTTTGGTTCATTGGTCGCATGTTTAACCATAGCATCAAGCTATGGTTCGTGAAAATGCATTTCAGTTAGGGCTGTACCGAATAGTGATTTTCACTATTCGGCCGAATACGAATAACGGGACCAACTATTCGGCCGAATACGAATACGAATAGTGTGTATGATTCTACACCCCCCCCCCCCCCCCCCCCCCCCTCTCTCCCCCCCCCCCCCCCAAAAAAAAAAAACATTCATAATGTCAAATGTACGCTGAATTTTTACTTCACATAAAGTAGCACAGAATAGTCATCTTCTTCTTTAGCATTCTGAGCTCTTGAGGTTTACTGCTGCAGACTGTTTTTGAAAACATGTAATAAGGCCTCATCTTTTTCATTTCCGCTTCAAGTTTCAGAGCCATATAAAACGACTGGTCTTATCAACGTTTTATATATTTCAATCTTGGTGTTGCGAGACAGACACTTTGGCTTTAGCAGATGTTGAAGGGCATAGTATACTTTATTTCTAGATTGTATTCTAGATCTTGGTGTTGCGAGACAGACACTTTGACTTTAGCAGATGTTGAAAGACATAGTATAATTTATTTCTAGATTGTATTCTAGATTGTATTTCTTCTCGCAGCATGTTGGAGCAGTTGAAGTTTGCACCCAAGTACTAATATGTTTCCGTTCGTTTGATTTTCATATTATCGACTTGGATGTGGCCGGATTTTACATTATTTCCATGTCTAGTTAGTATTCGTACAGAATAGTGAACATTTAAAAACATTTTATGTTTTGCAACCTTCAGTCGGTCTGTGGAAACTAATAACTAGGAATGAAAGAATCCTAAGTATTATAACAAGTAACTAAACTTGGAAATTGTCACTGACAGCTTAGTTAATGCATGAAAGCTGCATTAGCTTTCAATAAAACCATTCGTTCCATGTTGTCAGTATTAAGGCCGTGTATGCAGAAGCGGGTGTAAAGTAACTACTATTCGTATTCGGCCCGACCGCAACTATTCGGCCGAATACCGAATAGTCACTAGGTCCACTATTCGGCCCCGAAGCGAATACGAAGCGAATATTCGGTACAAAACTAATTTCAGTACCAGTTAGTATAATGCAGGCTCAATTAATATGTGAAAATCAAGAAACAAATTCCCTGCTACAGAAAGATTAACAACCCATTCATCACTTCAGTGGAATTAATAGGATTTTCATCTCATTATCGAAGCGTAACAAGCGTGAGGGTGCGTCACTTCAAAGCAAACAAAATAATTACTAGTGGAATTCCTGAGTGTGGACATAATTAATATGCATGAAAACTTTGTACTTTCTGTGTGACATAAACAGCTTTGAGGATTGACCTTAAGTTATAAAACTGATTCTAGAGACAACATGTAAATGAAAAGTTGGTTAAACCAGCTGCGCGGCAAACCGGGTGGCAAATTCCTTGTGGTCCGAGTGCACGCTCGGCAGTAGGCAGAAAAGCCACATAAATCCCAAATATAAAGTAATTATCATGGAATCAAGGCCGAACGGTTACGATATCCGTAGTACCGAGCCAAGGTGTTTATAATTCATGGCTTCTAGACCCCCTCCCCAAAAGGAAATGCAGATGAATATTTTATTAAATACACGCAGTTTTGGAGTAGAGGCTAGCCAGTCTGCCCTGTTGTCATAAGTTTCATTCTCCGACCAACACCCATATGCAATCAGAAAAAAATAATTATTATGACCTGAAGAGAATGAAGCACCTTGTTGTAACCAGAGAGCCTGGCCGGCTCACTAAACTCATGAGAAATGCAAGACTGACATATAACACGATTGTGACTGTTACTATCAGTATTGGAACTCTGCACTGGCTGCTGAAGATGCGGACCGATAACGCATGGGAATGCCCTGAGTAGTGTGATTCTGGACTCAACTCAGCTCAACTCTTTTCACTCTCCACTCCTTGCTGTCTGCATCTTTGATGGGTTCAAAGATTCGTCGAAGGACTGTTTTCAAAAATGTGTAATAAGACTTCCTCTCTATAAGTTGCACTCACAGTTTCAGAGCCATATAAATCTTGTCTGACCAGCGTTTTATAGTCGAGATAAATTTATATTGTTACACCATACATTGCTTGAGGATGAAGTAGTTAATTATGTCATTATGACTGCAAACGCCCTTTAAAAAAACAAACCAAAACCAGTTCTTCTTTGTTTACCCTGTTATTACGTAATGGATCGATCACATAGTCATTTCCAACCATGAGCACAGATAAGAAGTCTAGCGTGCGCCAGGCTTCCGCCAAAATATATTTTGGTTCAGAGCATTCGTTTAAACAATTACATTTTATGTCACTCTTTTGGCTCACGCTAGTAATTTGAAGTGGACACAAGGATTTCTCTTACTTTCACGTCAGACAACGAGATTTCTATCGAGGCATGAAATTAATCAGACCCAGAAAGCAATGAATAAATTGGAATAACAGCACGCACATCTCTAGACTCATCAATGAAATTCCTCTTACCGCAAAAGATGTAATCATGGTAAATATCAAAGACAGGGCTGATGACTAACACCGTTGGGATGTAGAATCTGAGGTTTTCACTTACACAAAGCTATGACACCAAGAGACAGTTCTTTTTCCTGCTTTTTTTTTTCAATATAAAATAATTCTGAAAATTATCTGGAAGCAAGAAACTGCTGTTGATCATTAAGAAACATTGTTCCGGGTAAATAGTTCTGCAACTGCCAAAGATTAAACCTAGGCCATTATCGTGATAACAAAGCCCGGAAAACACATAGTTCAACTATCCTACGACGTTATATATATGTATATATATATATATATATATATATATATATATATATATATATATATATATATATACAACGACATAGGGACACTGGGTGAAGGGTGGAAGGGGGTTTGCAGACACATCTTCAGACAAAGAATGTAAAATGGCTTGTGACGGCAACAATGCTCTTGATTTCTCATGCACGCAGTGAGGAAGACTCTCATGCCAGCATTAGGGAAGATTCTTCTTGTCGTGAGTTATTCTTGCTAGTCAAACTTATCATCGCCAGCAGTTGTGATTCCCCTGCCTCACAACAGCACACTGTTGATTGGAATAACGGTAAAGATGCCAAGAAGAGAATGAGCGTAAACATACGGTGCATCTTCTATGTCCACCAAAATCAGTGGAAAAAAAAAACGATCCTTATCGTTGAATGGGTAACGAGCATGTTGAGTGTTGAAAAAAGAATTGACATTACAGCACCCCGGACACTCCCATAAGCGCTCCGTCCCCATCTTTAGCAAGCGAATAGTTATAATTCCGATTATACCAGTAACTGTCTGATTGTGCATCCGTCTCGCATTTCCCTTGAGTGTTGACGTCGACCCGATCCCCTGGTATCTTCAGCAGCGCATTTTCCCTCAGATCGTAATGATCTAAGTGTGCCTTGGGACTATTAACTAGTTACCAAAGGAAGTAACGAGTAACGAGAAGATCACCGCACGAATACGTACCATCAAAGCCAAAGCTTAAGAGGATGATAGATTGACTAAGACAGACAACGCTGGACAAATTGGGATGATGGCAGAGAGGAGAATGTGAATAAGAAATTAGTGGTGCTACAGGAGCAGATTGTGAACATACAAACCGACCAACTCTACATGGCACTGACCAAGGATTAAAAAAGTGAATTGGTATACATATCAAGCAAACTCAGTCAAAACAATACAACACATGCAAGTGATTTTCTTTTCCATTACCGTATTCTCTATCTCTGTCTTCGTAAGGCTCCGAAGAATTCACCAGAGATGGGCCTGGTAACTGCTTCATGAATGATGATTTTTCGCAGGTTTATCTGTTCACGTTTCTCCTTCTTGATTTTATTGTGTCTAGGCACTGTCGTTATTTATTGTGTATGCTTGTGACAACCTTATGAGGTTACGAAACTATCCAGTTCATACTTTTTAAAAACCTGAACGCATGAAGTATAAAGTCATGTGGGTAATCCTGGGATGTACAAGAGACACCCCGGTAATATGCATTCCATATATATTGTAATGCCTACTATTGCAGATAGGCTCAAAGTTCTGCAAGCAAAGTCATATCAAAGAATAGCTGCATACAAGAAACATCTCTTACATGAAGCCCTAGGTAGAGCTAAGGGTCACAAACTGAAAAGACGGAGGTCTTAGATGGCGCAAGCTGTAGACACAGGCATATGTGCAGGCAAGATGAATTTAGAGGAGAAGAGGTGTGGGTCAAAGTGTCCGAGCAAGAATCAGACATGTGTAGGGTGCTAATAATTGTATGTGGTAAGTGCAGGGACTGACAAGCTGTGCTGCTGAATCATAAGTTCAACAAATGATTCATGACAATGTCCGCCCAGTCGATGTAATTATCTATACAGATAGCACTGTGCTGCTGAGAGGTAGATGAAGTGCATGGGAGTTGATAGCAAAAGTTATTGGCTTAGTTCAACAAAGCCTTGCATATGATATAACGACATCTAGTTTAGGAATGGAAGTGGAAGCAATCACACCTATACACACATGTCGTAACTGTGGCTGACTCACAGAGTATGTTGAGAAAGGTGGAGACTGGCATGCTCCGCGCAGAGTAATACGTATCGCTTCAGAGGTCGCGGGTAGTTAGCGTCGTTTAGATATTTTTTCCTAGAATATGCTGGTGTGTTGGGAAACGAGCAGACAGATAGACTAGCCAGTTATGCACTAAACTTGATGGTGAATTGATGTATGACAAGCTAGATTTTGTTAGGACCCTTTAAGAGCGCTTAAATAGTGCGTGGCACAAAGAGATAATTACTGTCTGAGGAGAATGGCCAGCTGGGAGTTACCAGGGATCTGGCCAATGATCGACACTCAAGAAAAAGGAGAGACGGATGTAAAATCAGACAGTTCTATAAGAACCGGAACACTTCGCCTCCTGCTGAAGATGGGGATGGAGGGCTTATGGGAGTGTTCCCAGTGCTATGATCTCGATTCTCAATTTAACATCCAATTTTTCAACAGAATATAACAACCATGCTGTCTCAGATTGCCTTCTAATATCACAATTCTTGAGAGAGAAAAATGGGCGAAAAGATTAACAACAACAGTGACAAAATAGAACAAACAATAAGACCAATCATGTAACAACAAAAATAAAAGCATTGGCCTGCAAATAATCACAACTTTAGAAAAGTGACAATACGAATTTATCAATGTTACCCCATCTCTTCATACTTACATTGAACTCCCGTCGGATGCCAATGCGATGTCGCCACAAGAACTTCAGAATGAGCGTGTAGCTGATGATGATAACACACAGTGGGATGACGTAAGTTACCATAACAACGACAATAATGACGACTTTCTCCCATTCATCCGGCCACTGTGCCATACAGACAGTAGAATTCTCTTTCGGGATGTGCCGAACTTCTTGAACCATCAGATAAGGGCTGCTCACGATCATGGAAGCTGCGAATAAAAACATTTAAAAAATGCAGTTTTGAAGATCCAAAGAAACGGGGATTAAGCCAGTTTTAACAAACGGCTGTTAAGCCTGATTAATTTATAAGTGAGCCGAATAATATTTTGAGGCCTCGGAGATTTGGTTTTACAGACGAATCCTTAGAATTCCTTGGACAGCTAAGAAGAATAACCTAGCTGTTTTGAAAGAGGCGAATGCTCGAGGACAACTCATCACAAACATGAGAAAGAGACAGACATCATCTTTTGGTCATGTTTTGAAAAGAGGGAAAATGGAACGTGTTGTGACCACTGGAAAGATTTATGGAAAAAAGAGACAGATGAAAACAGCGTGAAAAGATTCTTGTGAGTCTTTTGTCGTGGCATGGGGTGCTGTCAACACACCAACTGATACACGCAGTTGCAGATCGCAGATTGTGGAGAGCCAGTGATCGCCCCAGCCAGTTGGCAAGGCACTTGATGATGTTGATGAAACCATGATGTAATTAAAATAAATTTTATTATATATATATATATATATATATATATATATATATATATATATATATATATATATATATAAATTTCATGGTATTAACAATATTATAATTCATATTCGTCCTTTTTAGGACGAAATTTTTCGTTGTTTGAAGCCCTACTCTGGCTTCTGCCAGGGGCCGCAATATAGGCAGGCCATACATATGGCCAAATGTCTGAACGCGGTTTCTGGGACCTCTCCACGGCGATCCTCATCCACATGGTGGCACTTTGTGTCATCGGGTGTTTATCGCTTGTGTGATGTCCTAGTGGGGTAGAAAGTCAGTCAGTCAGTCGGTATTAACAAAATTCTAGAATATAAGTATGTCCAAATCCACAGGATGCCAAAAACAAAAGGAGTTAGCAAAGCTGAAACCATAATAATGTGTATAAAATCATTAACAATTTTAATTTCAAAGAAATCAACGACAACATATTTGGGTGTTGGGAGGGGGGGGGGGGGGTGGGAGCTAGGTGAACACTGATGTAGCGATATGGCGCTCCGTGCGGTCCTGAAGATCATTGGTACAAAGCTTGTCTTTTTGGTCGTGAAGATGGCTACTTTGCTACCGCAGCGACAAATATAACATCAAATCTCATAATACATTTTGTAAAGTCACCATATCGTCCTGTTCTTGCCCGAGAATCCGATTAAGTGCAGCACGGACAGATTGTCGCCTAGAGTCATAACCTAGATCGGTCCACATTCCTAGATTGTTTAGGAAGTAATGGGCCGAAAAAATCGTCGACAAGGAATCTTTCAACTGATGATCAGTGGACCCTGCTGGCTATGCTTCCGCGGGAAGTTCTTCTTATTGCCGCATCGAGCAGAATTTTATAATGACCTTAGGTCTCAGTCGACCTAGCCCAAAAAAGGGTACCAGGTAAAACCATGGTCAGTAAAGGCAGCCAGACTTCGCAGACAGTCATTTTGTATTTTTTTTTCTTGTTTCTAGTAGGGAAATAATGTAAGCTCTGTATGGATGTGTAATGCAGGCAGAGGGGAAAGCAAGAGTGAGAGAAAAGGGGGAATAGATGGACAAACCGACCGACCGACAGACCGACAGACCGACAAACAGACAGACAGACAGACAAACAGACAGACAGACAGACAGACAGACAGACAGACAGACAGACAGACAGACAGACAGACAGACAGACAGACAGACAGACAGACAAACTGACCGACAGACAGACAGACCAAACTAAACCAAAATGCGGCTATAAATAAGAAAACCAAATACAATCAGACTGCCGCCGATTAGGAATTTCACTTGCCCAGCCATATCTTCTTATATGCCGTAGGGCGTTTGTAGTCAGGTCTATTCAAAACCTTTTGTACATTTAGTCAGCTCTGACACAGATGATTCTCCAAGCCATGATGTCAAAGAGTCCAGCATCTTTTCTCTCCATCTTCCTCTGCTATTCTTTCCCTTCAACTTTCCTGCTGTCAGGATGTACACCAGTTTTCTTCTTCTCATGACAGGACCAAAGAATGTAGACTGTCTCGGTCTCTTTCTGATGTGGGCGAACACTTCTTTTCGTTAGTCAGGTTCTTTCAAAACATCTTCATTCATTACTATTTTTCTTCTTCTTCTTTTTCTTCTTCTTCTTCTTCTTCTTCTTCTTCTTCTTCTTCTTCTTCTTCTTCTTCTTCTTCTTCTTCTTCTTCTTCTTCTTCTTCTTCTTCTTCTTCTTCTTCTTCTTCTTCTTCTTCTTCTTCTTCTTCTTCTTCTTCTTCTTCTTCTTCTTCTTCTCCTCCTCCTCCTCCTCTTCCACATTGTACCTTATTGAAGTGTCGGGGGAAGATGTAACAGTCGTTGAGGAACTCTGTCAAGAGCACTATTAGGACTCATGTTCATTTCTGTAAGTTCTTAATGCCTTCACTGCAAATTTTCTGAGGTCTTCCATTTGCTATATACCAGTTTTAACGTTTTAATGTGGCTCGCTGTGGCAGATAGTGCTAGTTCATTCTTGTTAAGTGTCCAAACCAATTCATTTTGTAAACTTTATTTGATGACCTTTAGGGCTGTCTTTATTCCTAGCATTCGTCTGATTTCGTGAGTTCTTATTCTGTCTATCCTTGAAACTCCTGAAGCTCTTCTAAGGCATTTCATCTGTGTTGTCACAATATTATGTTCATTGGAGGATGTGAGTGTCCACGTTTGGCACTGATAGCATTGTGTTGGCCAAAAAATTGTTTTGATAAGATTAACTTTAGTACTCTGGAGTATCTGCTTGTGTGTCAACAGGGGAAATAGTTGCCCCATTACTTGATCAGCTCTGTCTCATCTCTAGCAAATTTTTCTGTCCAGTTTTCCGTCGGATGTGAACATTGTTCCTAAATACCTGAATTCCTTTGTTTGTCTTAATGTGTTGTTTTTTAAATTTTATTTCTAAATTGTCTTTTTGTCTTCGTAGGTTTTTTTTTTTTTTTTTTTCATATTATATTCCTCCTCTTTGTTACTAACTTGATTTAGGTGGTTCTGTTGGCATTTCGTACTTTTTGCTACGAGTCGTCGGCGAATAGTAATTTTGCAATATCTTTTTCATGAATAAAGTTTGTTTCCTTACATATGGTATCTATGTATGCTATAAAAAGAAGTGGCGGTAGTACACAGCCCTGACGCACACCACAGTTCACTACAACAGTTCTTGACAATTCTGCCTTCAATCTTATGCAGCATTTACTACGCATGAACAGGTTTTTGCAAAAAATAATGAGATGATTGCTGATTCCCTTTTCCCCAATACATTCCCACAACATATTCCTGTCGACTCTATCAAAGGCTTTTTCTTGGTCTATGAATGTCAACAAACATGTCTTATTGTGTTATATTGCTCTCTCTGATAGTTATCTCAGTGTTTAAATGACATCTGTGCAACTTCTGTTTCGTCGAAAGCCCATCTGTGCTTCTGAAAGTTGATACTCTATCACTGGTCTTAGCCTTTTTTTTTCGGTTATCTTAGCATACATTTTCCCGGTGCGACTGAGCAGCGATATTCCTCTGTAATTAGTAAAGTCTCTCTTAGTTCCTTTATTTTTCCATAGCGGGACGATGACAGCAGATTGCAAATCTAATGGCGTTTGTTGATTTTTCCATGCCACCTATTTATCTGCCCAGAATATTTCTATCATTCTCTATAAAACCACATCTCTGCAGCTTCCAAATAATTTGTTTTGAAATACTTTGAAATGAAATAACCGAAATACGTAAGCTGTGAAAAAGAATACAACGTACAAGCAGACTGTCGCCGATAAAGAATTTCACTTACCCAGCCAGATAGCTATGCATATAACCAAGGTTGACTTAGGAGTTCGTCTGCTCAATGACCGGATTGGATGGACAATAGCGTAGTATCGATCTATGGTCATCGCCGTCAGAGTTAGACATGTTGATAATAGCGTAGCCTGCCATAGAGACAAGAAAGGTATGTTTAATAATATCATTATAGTTGTAGCTACATTTGTGTAACTGGTAAGCACAGCTTGGGATATGAAAAAAGTAAAGTTCCCTTTTCACACCTTTCGGCGCATCGGGCATATGGGCAGAGCGTCCCATATTTTTACAGACCATCAGCACTCTGTGGGTAATGTGGTCAGCATTACGCCGGCTGTCTTTACTTTCCCAGGACAGCCGATCCTGGTACCCATTTTAAGCTGGGTCGACCTGCGACGTCCCATACCACGACAAAAATCCACGCAGCCTGCAGTGGGTTTCGATCGCGGTATGCTGGCTTACGAGTCGGACTCGCAAACCCTTAGTCACGGACGCCGCGCTTGGGATATAGCTAAGGGTCAAATGTTGATCAGAGGGAAGTCTTAGATGATACAAACATAAGGCACAATTATAGAATGTACGCTATCAAAATTTGGGAGAGATGAGGGGTGGGTCAAAATATCACAGTAAGAAGCAATCTTGTGTAGGGTTCTAATCACACTCGGTCGGGAGTACAAGGACTGGTCAGCAGACACTGCAGAGTTGAAAATTCAACAATTCATTCATGATAATTCCTGTCTAGGTGATGAGATTAGACAGAAGGCTGTGTTTCAAGACATAGAAAACGTGCGTAGTAGTTCACTGTGAAAGCAATTGAATGATACTTAGTGCAACAAAGTATACTGAAAGTATCACAGCATCTAGTTTGAGAATGGAGGTGGGAGCAGTCATTATCAGCTTTCACCGGCTTTAAAACCAACAGTACAAACATGTGATTGTAACCGACTCACAAAACATGTTTTTAAAAGTGGAGACAGGCATTCTCTGTGCAGACTGGCAAGCGTCATTATAGAGGTCCGGGGTGGTAAGCGTTCTTTTGATAATTTTTCTCCACATGTGCAGGGTGTTAGAACTAAACAGACAGACTTACTAGTTCTGCAGCAGTTTGAGGTGAATTTATGCAAGACGAGCAAAAGGTTTTAAAGGCCTTCTGGGAGAATATGAACAATGCCAGGCACGAATTGATCATTATGGTATCGAGAGAATGGTACAACTGGGAGTGACCAGAGGATCTGGTCAACATTGTTAGAGGAAAGGGGGGACGAACATATAATTAAACCCCCTTGACACCATTGGAATTATAACTTTTTACAGGCTGCTCAAGACGTTTATGGGAATGTTTCGAGTGCTGTGATGTCAAATGTTAGTTGTATATCTTTTACAGGACGCTGGAGAATCAACTACAGCACAACCTCAAAATGGTTTTAGCTGTTGTGGTTTTAAAAAAAAAAATTACGTTTAGGGTTTTGCCATTAACGCTGGACGGTCGACTCTTGATACCGCAGTCAGAACGAACGTTGGACGGTCTCCTGCCAAATCACCTGCAGCTGGGATCGAACCCGACACCACGGCATTACAAAGTCTGTTCGCATTGCTTAAACCACGTACTGCGACTCCCGATGTTAGCTCAACACTAACTGGTGAATTGAGGTAATGGAACAGGGCACGAATTTAAAAAAAATAGCGTATGTTGAGTTGCCGAGTTTCAAGAACCGATCTCACAACACGCGTGACAGTCCCATTTGCGCTTCGTTTCCCACTTCAGTTGACAGCGAAGAGTTCAAACTCCAATGGTTCCTGCATCAGCCTAAGTGTATGTCCTTTTTTGTCCTCCCTCTGAGTGTCGAGTTTTCGGCCTGATCTTTTGATCACTTCCCGTTGCACCATTCTATTTTTTTTTTTAAATAATCTAGCTGTGCCTCCGACTTGTTCACAGGACGAATATATGTGACAATAAATTTATAATGTGCTCATTACACAACTCAGCCTTATGTGGGGACAAATTAGGAATAATTCAAATAATGCTTTTAACACTGATAATTATTATCTTTACCGAATATACGCTTTGGAATTACTTACTGTATTATAATGTTTTGCTCATAATTTGGATACCATCCGAACTGTACGATTGTCAGTAATGCAGGCTAAGCATCTTTGCCTGCCATGCTAGTAGTAATGTGTTCGAATCCCATCGGGGTGGCCTTTTTCTCAGTTAGACACAAGCATAACATGGGCAGTAGGAAATGATTTCGAGGGTAAATTTTGCCTATGTTCTATCCATCACACCCATCATTGAATCGTGATTAGTCAATTTATAGCTGAGTTTTGTGGTCAGTATCACACGGGTCGCTTTTACTTCGCAAAATATTTGCTAATGTCTAATAAGGACTTGATCGATCTTGGAGCTCTAAATCAGTTATACAAATATGCGTGTATACGGATTAGAACCCATACCTTCTTAACGCCAGGCAATGGTCTAGCCACTTCGATCCATTGGCCCCGGTCGTCCTAATGTACTTCTGTTTGACCATTCTCTTTTCGAAGTGATTGTTAGCGGCTAACCCACAAAGCAATCATTAATTCATATATTAGGGCAACCTTGTAAGATTTGTTTGAGTCTCCAGACTGCTTAACGCCAAGTTATTTTGGCGGGCATCGCGTTCATCATTTTGCAACTCTGTACTGTGGCGATCCTACTGATAAATGTCTGATTCGAGGGAATAGCCAATTTAATTCCACCGTCTCCTGGTGTTCATGTCGATGTTTACCTACGTCGTTGGTCTGGTGTGTTTTATGACATTCCCTTTTTGATCTTAATGTATTGCCTCTATCGCCAAACCGTTTATTTTAATTCTTAAAGGGAGTGTGTGATGAGCCGAGCAGCGTATTTACATAGACTACTTCAACAATTGTAGAAATTATATCACATACATTTTTCTGGGTTTACAAGGAAAAGGTAAAGACGGTGCCATATCAGATGGTGTTGTGGTGTGAAGTATAAGGCGTTTACATATGCAAGGCCAATTGCTATAAGATCATATGGCCAGTCCCTTCTTCATTGTCTTTCATTGGTTCTTTCTGTCTTTCTTTCTTTCTTTCTTTATTTATTAAATATTGAACAACTCATATATCTAGTAGGGACTGCAGTAGGATAGCTGAAAGTAGCAGCTTTCATGACTTAGTGTTCGAATCGACACCGAGGGTGAATTGACAAACTGACCTGTGGTTTCCAATTCACATCAACTACAATGGGTACCAGGAAATATGTTAGAAACCTACTGTGTCTGTCTTAATTTTGATCATGTGGGAGCTAGCATCATAGGCCAAAAATACGCCTTAGCATTCTATGACGTGTACTGCTCACTTGTTCATTTTTATCATCAGCATCATCATCGGTCTCTTACGACATTATATATCACATAGATCTCACATTCGATTATTCCATTTCATTCCACCCTGTACAGTAATAGATGTAATCCACCGCAGTGCCGTACTTTTGGCTCCTCTCCCTAACTGTTTTGGAGTTTCACTTAGATGTCCTCGTTACCTCAACACCTCTGTTTCCTATTGCAGTGCCTGTTATGTGATTCTCTGCTCGTTTTGTCTCGGGATACGTCAAGACAGCGTCATCAGCTTTGTCATTATAACGGTTGATACAAGTCGTTGCCTAGCCATTTCTCTTATTTCTTTTCTCCTCTTGAATTCTTTGCATTATTTGTCTATCGCTTTCCTCAGGGATTAGTTTTCGAATTCGTTTGACTTTCGTTCCACGTCTTTGGTGGTTCAATTTTTTTTTTTTGGTAGAATTGTTTAAATGTTTAAATTAAATCTCTGTTAGTGTAAACAATGTGTATGTTAATTCTAAAACTGTACAATTTAGAGTTCCGTGTTTTGTTTACGCTTTTAAAACCCGTCGATGCCTTGCAAGTGCGTGTCATAATTTATTTCTTTGTGTTTTATGACTATCGAGATTACTACCAAAATAGGTAACCTGTTTTGTCTGTTCCTGTCTATTTGTGTGTGTGTGTGTGTGTGTGTGTGTGTGTGTGTGTGTGTGTGTGTGTGTGTGTGTGTGTGTGTGTGTGTGTGTGTGTGTGTGTGTGTGTGTGTGTGTGTGTCCAATGATGCACATGTTTGACCTGTTATTGGTTGTCGCAGATACATTTGTATTTTTATGACTTCTTTTTAATGCTATTTTTGCTAAGTCATCCGTGTTTCTTTGCACGTGATTGCTGTTCTTACTTAGCTGAATAAAATTATTCTGCAAAATCGGGATCCGATTGTATGTTTACTAGTCAATGTCGGAGTTTCCAGAACCACATATTTTCCTCACCATGTCAATGGTTATGCAAAATAAGAACAGAAGTAAAATACATCCACGTTTCACCCAAGTCTGAAATGCAAACCAAACACGTAAACCATAATTCATGCATACTGCACAATCTGAACCTTCATACATTGCTTTAATGTTAACACATATGTCTAATAAAATGTCATATATTCCACAGTGATGATCTGTGTAATGTATCAATCAGTAGTCTTCCTACAGTTTATGCAGATTCCCCTAGTAAGTCTCAAGGTAATTATCTGATGTAAAGCAACTGTTTTCAGGTCGAAAAGCTGCGTGTTTCTCTATCAGGATTTTGTCCATTAACTCTTTACTTCTATTTAGAATTATTTCACAGACAGTTTTGGACATTACAGATTTCGGAGTAATCCCTCTCCGTTATAGCCCGTAAGACCACCTGAAATTTTAACAGTTGTTCCTTTCTTCAATTGATTTCGAATATGCTTTCCTCTGCCCCTTTTCCATTAAATAAATCTTCCACTTGTTTTTGGTCACATCAGCTGCTTGTGTGTAGATTCTGCAGTAATATCATCATCACCATCCTCTGCTGCCTTTGTGTTTGCTAATAAATTGATTGCCCATTGCCTTCTTTATTTCCATGTCGCGTATCTATCCTATATTTTATAATATGTTCATTTAAGCCCCATCATAATAATAAATTGGTTCTCGTAAATTATGTTTTGTTTAAGACTCGTGGAAGTGTTCTGTCCTTCTTTTATTCTACTCAGTATCAGATGTAGGCATTTTGCCATTGTAAATTTAAATGTGATCAAGCCGCAGTTTGAAAGTACTAGCTGGCAGTTTTTGTGTGTTCTCTAGTGCGATGTGGGAGCGCAAAATCAGCATCGCAGTCAAGGTCAATATTTACAAATCACTAGTGTTGTCTATTTTCCTATACGGAAGTGAGAGTTGGACTCTCATTGTGGAAATGGAAAGGAGGATTCAGGCTTTCGAATGTAATTGCTTCAGACGTATTTTATGAATTAGTTATTTAGAACACAAAACAAATGAGACAAAATATACAAATTTTCGGGACATCAGAAGCCTCTTTTGGCAAAGGTGAAACGTCGCAAGCTAGCTTGGTTTGGGCAAGTGCTGAGACATGATACGATTACAAAGACTATATATACTTCAAGGAACATTGGGGTTGCGGAAAGGGGGGGGGGGGGGGGGGTAGGGTAGTCGAAGAAGAGGAGGGGAAAGAAGAACCTGGAATAACATCATGAAATGGATAGGACTAAGTTATCATACACTTATTCATCAAGCAGAAGAGAAAGATGCCGGGTTTTATGTGCTAGTGCTTCCATTAATACAACTCTACGACTCTTATGGGTCAAGGGTTTTGTTATGTATGTTATAGTGTTTTACTGTTTATACTCTTTAGCTGAACGTTCGTCTTCAGCTAGACTGTCAGTTTACGCTCTCTTTACTCGCTTTGCTAAACTTTATAGTTCTTGTTTCTTTCCTGCTGTAATCTTCCATAGCACTGATTTCTCTGATTTCTGGTTCTGTTTAATTAGCTTTGCATATGGCAAGCTTCTGTTTTTTTTTTCTATTCTGAATACACTGCCATGTAGCATCCTTTACGAAAGCTGATCTTTAAGGCTTTTTTTATTCCCGCACTAATTATTGCTACCTCTCAAATTGTTGTCTTTACATCATTCGATTTGACCTCAATGCTCTATTCTCCACCCACCTCAAGTATTTCTCAATTCAAGCTGGTACATCTTTTAAAACACACACACACACACACACACACACACACACACACACACACACATATATATATATATATATATATATATATATATATATATATATATATGTGTGTGTGTGTGTGTGTATATATATATATATATATATATATATATACACATATACACACACATAAATAAAAAACATTGACATAACTTACGTGTATTACATAAAAGCAGACATATTAACACTGTGACTTACGTAGATAATGTAGAAGTTGACTTTGCACATAACCGTGCCATACTCCCAGTTGTTGGACGCGTAAGCTGCTGTGGTTATGGGCACCACAAACAGAATGAAAGCCAAGTCCGCCAGCGCCACGTTAATAATGTAACAGTTGGTGGCTGATCTGTTTAAGCAGATTATCATTATCTTATATTAATGATGTAACAGTTGGTGGCTGATCTGTTTAAGCAGATTATCATTATCTTAAATTAATGATGTAACAGTTGGTGGCTGATCTGTTTAAGCAGATTATCATTATCTTATATTAATGATGTAACAGTTGGTGGCTGATCTGTTTAAGCAGATTATCATTATCTTATATTAATGATGTAACAGTTGGTGGCTGATCTGTTTAAGCAGATTATCATTATCTTATATTATTGATGTAACAGTTGGTGGCTGATCTGTTTAAGCAGATTATCATTATCTTTTATTAATGATGTAACAGTTGGTTTCTGATCTGTTTAAGCAGATTATCATTATCTTATATTAATGATGTAACACTATGCGGTGAATCTGACTCATGAGATGAGCAATAATAATTCACAATTTAACAACAAAAACGAAAGTCAGTTGCGTATTCTTTAGAAGCTGTTGCAAACTAACCTCAGCATAAGTTGGTTTTTGTTATGTTACTAATGCAATTTTACTTTCAGTAGATTGCCACTGCTCCCTCGGCTGTTGACCCGAGGAACTATTGTCGAAAACAGCACAAGGCAGCCTGCTGTCAAATCTCTCGCAGCTGGAATCAAACTAGTATTTCTGAAGTGCAAATCGCGTTCAAAGCCTAAGTCACAGACGCAGACATTTCACAAAAATTATGTAACATTTTATGGTAGATCTGCTTAATCAGTAAAAAGTAATTGGCGGCAATGTTGTAACATTGCCTGGTGGGTCAGCTTGATCAGTGAAGAGTAAGTGGCAAAAATAAGGTAACATTGCGGGGTGGGTCTCCTTAATCAGTGAAGAGTAACTGGCAAAATTAATGTAACATTGCCTGGTTGGTCTGCTTCATCAGTGAAACCTAATTGGCAACAAATGTGTAACGTTTCCTGGTGGGTCTGCTTCATCAGTGAAGAGTAATTGGCAACAATCATTTAATATTTTATGGTACATCTGCTTGATCAGTGAAGAATAATCGGTAACAATAATATAACATTGCTTAGTGGGTCTGCTTAATCAGTGAAGAGACATTGACAATAACAATGTAACACTGCGTGGCGGTTCTGCTTGACCAGGCGAAAAAATATTTCAGATTAAAATATAAACCTGGAGGACCTTTTCTAAAAGTTGAAGTTTATGTTACGTTAGTTGTGAAAAAATTTAATGAACGTGAATGAGAAACAGCTGGTAGCCGATTAGCTTAAAAAAAAGACCATTTGGAGATTCTGCCGGGAATAGTTCCTTTATCACTGCCTCGTATGTAGTTTAAATTACACTAGACATTGGTTGTGTATTTGTTTGTAAGTGTCTAACGATGAATTATAATACAAGAGGCTCTTCGCCTCTTCAATCTTTTAATATTTTTTTTTTTTCGAAAATGTGTGTTATGGGTGAACTGTTGACATGTATTTATTAGCATTTTATTTTCTGTAATTTTCTGTTTTCTGCCGACATCTGTCAATGGAACATGGGTTCTCAAAGAACTCAAGCGCCAAGTATAAAGCCCTATTATAACACCACATGGGACGGGTAGAAACAGAGTTATAAAGGATATATCCAGGTGTGCTGACATCGATATTCATATCTTTAAACACCCTTCTAAGAAATAAAAATGTTATAAATCCGTTTTCAGTAACCTGTTTCGCATGGTTCTAAAATATGGAGCACAACTAAAAGAGATAAAGCTCTGTTACAAATATTGGACACAAATTCTTTGCGACAAATCTTTGAACCCATCAAAGATGCACACAGCTGGGTTTGGAGAATGAGAATCAATAACGAAATTAATAAACTTTATAGATTAAAATTGACCACCGGCATCATGACGGTTAAGAGACTTAAATGGCTGGGGCATACTGAGAGAATATTTGACCCAGAGGTAAAACTGTGTACACAAGGAAGTTGCGTGGCCGTAGACCACGAGAAAGACCAAGAAGACGATGGAGGGATACCATCCAAACTGACCTATAAATACTTCGTGTACCCAACTAGAAAGAGAAGACCAACCAAAAAGATCAGTAAAGGCGGGTGATATCTGCAGCAGTGAACTTCAAGGGATCGGAATGCTTAAGAAAAAGAAGAAGAAGGTGAAGAAGAAGAAGAAGAAGAAGAAGAAGAAGAAGAAGAAGAAGAAGAAGAAGAAGAAGAAGAAGAAGAAGAAGAAGAAGAAGAAGAAGAAGAAGAAGAAGAAGAAGAAGAAGAAGAAGAAGAAGAAGAAGAAGAAGAAGAAGAAGAAGAAGAAGAAGAAGAAGAAGAAAAATAAGAAGAAGAAGAAGAAGAAGAAGAAGAAGAAGAAGATGGAGGAGAAAAGGGAGGAGAAGAAGAAGCAGAAGAAGACAAAGGAGGAGGAAAAGGAGGATGAGGAGAAGGAGTAGGAGGAAAAAAAAAAGAAACATAATAATAATAATAATAATAATAATAATAATAATAATAATAATAATATCATTAATAATAATAATAATAATAATAATAATAATAATAATAAGAAGAAGAAGAAGAAGAAGAAGAAGAAGAAGAAGAAGAAGAAGAAGAAGAAGAAGAAGAAGAAGAAGAAGAAGAAGAAGAAGAAGAAGAAGAAGAAGAAGAAGAAGAAGAAGAAAAAGAAGAAGAAGAAGAATCACTCTTTTCTCTTCACTATTTGCTTCATCTTTACATTCCATTGTGGCGTACTAGTCTTACAGTTTTTTTAAAGAGCACCATATGCACTAGTAGCAATCGACTCAGAGAACCCCGTAGAAGAAATACAATTAAAATAGTACCAGGTGAAAACCACGCAGAACATAATACGACATAAAAAATGGTCTTAGGAAAGTAAAGGCCAGCTTATAGAACGCATTGAAAGAGCACAAAAAAGATAGTAAACATTTCCCTTAACACTTTGATGAAGTAAATGTGGGAGGATGAGGAGGAGCAGTGGTGTACTTTTATAGTCGTAATTGGCTGATCCAGAAAGCGCACAAGAAACACTTATTTCGATTGAAACGGTTACAATAACTTCAAAAGACTGTGTAAATAGCTGATGTATGGGACAGAGTGATCCAAATTATACGGTATTTCGCTGTAACTAAAGATTTTTTTTTATCCTCATGAAGATTTTACCAGTTAAAACTTAGAATAACATCTGCAGTCAAAATAAGGGTATTTGTATATCTCACCAGGAGTAATTTTATTAGAAAGGTTAATATATTGCCAATCTCAGATAAGAACATTTTTTTCAGGTCTGAGATTTTATATCATAAATATAAATTTATAGAAAATAATTATTTATGCTTGAGAAAAACAAGTTGTGGTTTGATATCGGTTATTTTGACATTTGGGGAAAGGAGGTGGGTATTTTCTAGCTGTAACAAATAACATTCCGTTGTGCCTACGGCCACATTTATAACTGCACTGGCATTAACCTGCTCTGGGTGGAACATTTATAAGACATGCATGTCTAAATTTCTGCTTTTTCAAGCACTTCAAACACTAATCTTTCATACCACAATTTTCTTGCATACATCATATTCATACATATTGCAGAATTCATAGTATAAATGTAAAGTAAATATACAGAAGCATGGATTTTAACACATACCTTCAAATATCGTTAGAGCTTTGGGCATCAAGAAAGACTGGCTAATATACTTGCCACGAACGCTCTAATATTTTAGTTTTATCAAGCGCTACGGCGGATTAAAACAAACAAAATAAAAATAATTCTTTGTACCAGGTGGGAGAGTCAGTGTCCGCCAGCACAAAAATGGGCACAGGATATAAGAGACTCCTTGGATATGAAAGTGCATGAGTGGGGAATCTAACTCAGACAGACTCTGATGACAAAGTGTAGTATCTGTTCTTATCAGCTAAATATCTGATACGTGGTCCATTGGGCCACTGTGACGGGAGTCTCCGTGACGCAGCGGCTAGACAGTCGCGTGCGGATCGGAAGGTGGAGGGTTTGCTCCTTGGCGGAGCCTGACTTTTTTCAAAAATGACCTTGACTCCCTGACCACATCATCCATCTTGTGCCGGTTGGTCTATCAAAATATAGGTCTAGCTCTATATGCCTTATACGCCTAAAGGCGTGGTAAAGGGGCCTTTACTGTACCTCACCTAACGTGATGAGAGCAACGTTCTAAAAAGAGCCTGCTACACAATGTTGATTTTCAAATATAAATACAAAAATGCACATTCAGCGAGATACAGACAGAGAGAGACAGAGAGAGAGAGAGAGAGAGAGAGAGAGAGAGAGAGAGGGGGGGGAGGGAGAGAGAGAGACAGAGAGATCAAATAAATTACACCGCAACAGAGTGGCATCTTTTTTTTAATCAACAGTGCAGTTTTGAAAGCTAGATAAAGCAAACACTTATTTACAGAGAATCGTTTACATTAGCATAGACCTGCCGCGTACGCCCATTGTGAAAATAACAATGACGTTTCCAACAGCTACGAAAAGTCTACATGTCTTATCTTCTTCCTCGTGGTCTTCAGCGGCTCTAAACTCTCACAGGAATTCCTGGTTGTTCCTCTAATTCTGGACTTTGGACTTGTTTCAGGATTGAAGTTTTGCATGCCCATCTGATTTAAAAATCTGGCTAAATTATCTCAGCAGTACTAAGACAGAACATACAGACACTGATTTGCAGAGAACTGTTTACCTTGGCATAGACCTGCGGCGTATGCCCATCGTGAAAATAACAATGATGTTCCCCACAGCTCCGACGAAAGAAATCAGTCCCCATATTGTTGGTATAAGAATTCGGTGTGTGTCAATGCTGGAAAAACAATAGAAACTGTTAAAAAAAACTAAGCACTGGTATTAATTTGCCATTATGAATGCACAAAATGGCATTAGTCATTAGTGAGCATTCAGGGGAGATCTATTGAAGTTCACCAACTTATTAGCTCCACAAGTGTAATACTAATGGTCACGATGAAATCTTTTAGCAAAAGTCAGATCTGATGTATTGTTTTCTTGGTTTGTGTTACAAACAGCCATTCACGTTTAAACCCAGCGGGGTTAAAATAACAACACGACGAAACAAAAGTAATGTTTTATATCTAACGTGAGTTAGTAACGTGAGTTACTAAAACAGCTACCTGACAGACAAGTGTCTTACGTAAGCAAGGACCAATAAACTCAGCGTGAGTTGACTGGTAAGGAATTAGTTAAACAAAGGGCTTGTAAAATTTGGTAAAGGATACTTGCCCACAAATTAGGGCGTAATGGGCATATGGAGCTATATTCATTTTTTATGGACCAATTGGCGATCGGTGGGTGATGTGGTCTACATTACGCTGGCCTCCTTTATCTCTTACGACTTTACCTTGAACCCACTCAGGGCTACAAAAGAACTGTGGTCATTTTGAACAAAATCCCCCCCCCCCCCCAAAAAAAAAAAATTTGGCTTTTTCAAGATCGATTCGTAATTCTAGCGTACCGCGATCGAAACCCACTGCTGGCTGCATGGATTTTTATCATAGTATGGGGCGTTGCAGGTCGACCCAGCCTAAAATGGGTACCAGGATGTGTGTCCTGGGGAGGTGAAGACGGCCGGCGTAATGCTGACCACATTACTGACCTAGTGCCGATTGGTCTGTACAAATATGGGATGCTCTTCCCATATGCCCCATGCGCCTAAGGCGTGAAAGGGGTCTTTTTCCTGAGGATCTGAACCTATGACCTTCGGATCCCCAGACGAGGGTCAAGCCGATACACTACGGATGCACCCCAAATGACTTTAGTAAAATATTCGTCTCTAATCGCTTCAGTTTGCATCCCATATACACCTGGACCAGGATATGGTCACAGTAAAGCAGAGGACACTTTTGGACACCTTTACGCCTATTGGGCATATAGGGCCAGATCTCTATTTGTATAGATCCATTTGCACTTGGTGAGTGATGTGGTCAGTTTTACGCCGGTATCCTTTACTTCCTTTGACTGCATCTGGTACCCATTCAAGGCTGGGTTAACCTGGTCATTAAAAAAAAGGTCTGGCTCCGACAGGACCCGAACCCCCGACCTTCCCATCCGCAGACAAGCATTTAGCGGCTACACCACGGCAGATCCTATTGAGTATCTGGTAAAGATGAAAGAAAAAAAGAAATGGACTCTTTACAAGATAGTGGCTCATCTGATTTATAATGCTAGACTCACATGTTTGTGGAATATATTTTTAAAGATAATATTTTTAAAGACCATACTTTTATAGATCATATTTTTAAAGACCAGTGTTTCTCAACCTTCCTAATGCGGCGACCCTTTAATACAGTTCCTCACGTTGGGGCAACCCCGAACCATATGTTAATTTCATTGCTAAAGTGAATATGCGTTTAGCGATGATCTTTGGCGACCTCTATGAAAGGCTTTGGCCCACAAAAAGTTCACGACCAACAGGTTGAGAACCGCTATTACAAACCATATTTTTATGGACCATATTTTTTAGAACCGAATTTGTTAGGTTAGTTGCGTATCCTTTACAGGAATTTGAAGAACCAACCAATTGTGTGGTTTTTCTAGGCAAATTTACGTCCAGTAGTTTGCCATTGCCACTGGACGGTCGGCTTTCTTGATTCCACTGTCGAAACCACCGCAAGGCGCATGACCCGCAGCTGGGATCGAACCCGGCATCCCGGCATTATGAAGCGTACGCATCGACTTAGCCACAGAGCCGACTGTTTGTGCATATCAACCTAAAAAAAAAGTACTTACAGGAATCCGCACTAACTCATATCTTTTGTTTTGTCTTTGTATCCTAGGTGACCTCTGTCTAAAATAGTGCAAGGAAATGTCCCGAGAAGTAAAGGTAGATGGTGTGATTTTTATCACATTACTAGTTAAATCCCGCTTTGTCTACACAAATATGGGCCTTTCGCCTATTCCCAGTAGGCCAGTAACATGAGACGATGGCAGTTGACTAATTTATATTAACAACAAGCTAAACACAAACACATACGATTTTGAACAGCATACAAATAGTTAGGGGGGGGGGGGCGCAATGATCATTAGCAAGTCAGGTAGTTGATTGGTTCAATATGGTCCAAACAGGCGTTAACAGTGACACATATCTGGTAATAATATGTTGCAGCCGAAATTGTTGCAGAGCCGCCAAATTAATCAGTGGAAGTTTTTAAATGTAAGCTTATTTGGCATGTCTTTGTGACATTATGTCATAGTTTCATAGTCACCTTTATATCAAGGACGAAGATAGGTATATATATTCTATCCGTTCTAGTCATAGCTCAATATGTTAATGTTTATTTTTAAATACTTTGTGCCCAAACAATGACAATAAATTTTCTTTTTTTTTTAAATATTATTATATTTAAAAAAAAATTAAGTATTTGATAGTACACATTTGTAGAATGTTCGTCTATTCGACTACTGGCTTGACATCGTCCTGGCTGACACCAAATAGTGATATTGTTTATTTGTGTAGTATTGTCTAATCTATGTATGTTCTGAAGAAGGCTCAACAGCAGCCACATTTACGTTTTGTTTGTGTTTGTTATATTGTGAAGTTCGCTGACATACATTTCGTTCGGTTTTAAATCTTTCCCTGATATCATCATAGTTCGCCTTATACTTTTTCGGACTGTATCCATTTTCCATCCCATTTGTTACAATTTTAATGTCTGCTTTGTCACACTTTGTACGTTTTACCTCATAATATTTTGCATTACAATATATTTAATATTAGAATGAAATTCAGTGTATAAATTAATAAATGAATCAAGAATTGACATTACTGAATTCGGGACATTCTAAAGTGTGCTCCGTCTTCCTCTTCAGTAGCCAAAGGGGAGTTGTCATGCTATACATACCAGTCGCCCCGATTAAAATTCGCCTCTGTTTCCCCCTCAGAGTTGAAAATCTTTTAGAATTTTCACTAAATTATCGTATAACTAGTCTTTCACTGTGTGTACACTCTGTGTTGTTTATTGCACTGTTTATTTATCACATTTATAAAATGCCATTCATTAACACATCAATTCATCAGTGAGTCGTGCTGGTCGATCCACTTGACGTCCTTCTAATCTCTGTCTCTCTGTCTCTCTCTCTCTCTCTCTCTCTCTCTCTCTCTCTCTCTCTCTCTCTCTCTCTCTCTTTATATATATATATGATACCTATGTGTATGTAATTGGCATCAATAATACAGTTATGCTAATAAAAGTAGTCTTTCAAGCTGGCCATATCAGAGGATCTTCAGATGATGGATCATGTATTTGCTCTTGTCCGTAACATGCCATTTGGTCAAGGTTAGTAGTTAAAGGACTATTTTCATGAGGTGAAGCCGACTAGACATATATTTCTATAATACAGAGCCAGGCCTGTTTAGAAATGTGTCTTCCCCCTTATATTTGTGTCTGTCAAATTGGCAATTTGTCACTCAATCGTCAGATTGGTTTTCTTACTAATATTTTACGCCTAACCCCACCTATATCCCCCACTCCCACTTTCCGTTTTCTCCCAAAAAACTGGCTGTATTCTGGTAATCTAAGTTTCAGCTTTAAAGCAAACAGGTCACCCCATAGTTGCTCGGCTCCTGTGCTAACAAAAAAAAAAAAAAAAACACAGAATATGTATCATAGTCCCTTGTGGAGAGATTGACATATTGCTGTCTCAGCATATGCACTAGCATACACACGCATTAAAAGCATAAGGTAGCCATCCGAAGTGTTTACTCAAACAGTCGGACATTTGAAGTGCAGTTCATCATGGATGGTAGCAGAAGTCACCAACAGATCAGCAGTTGCACACTTGATCAATTTTAATCACATAATAGCATCACCAATATTGCGACAACAATTTATGAATCTACAATTCACACCACCACATTGGTCACAGTCGAATAACATTTCAAATTAAATCCACAGCTCACAGTGTCACACCATGCACCCAACTCACAAGCTGGGCTACGAAACTATATCCGTTCAGTTTACAAATGGAGCAAAAATGCAACGGCTGCCGTCTGGCTGAAGCAAAATATTTACCACGACTCAAAAAAGTGGCCGTGCCTAGCGTTCAATTTGACCTTGCCGTCTACTCTTTTTCTTTTTGATTTTCACTAGCTCTAAACGCTGGTGGAAAGGCCTGGTTGTTCGACCATTCCTGGACTTCGAACCTATTTTAGGACTTAGATTTTGCATGCACATCCCATTTACAAATCTGGCCTAATGATCTCAGTATTGCTGTCTACCTCTCTTTCTATTGCATGTGAAACAGCCTCACCATCTTCGTTATCTCCGATTATCTCCGATCAGGCCTTTCTGTACATTTTAGAACAGTATATTTAATGTCGAATAAATAATTTAATTATATTATCAGTACTCACTTGATGCGATCTTCCTTGCTGTCACTGCTAGTACTACCATTGGCGTCCTTTAATAAAGCTGCGAGACTAGTGTTGACTAAGTCTGTTATGTTGATTTCTTGTTCACTTTCCATGACTGTAAAACGTTTCAATAATAAACGTGTTAAAATTTCTGTTTTCATTCAAACTTCTAAATAATTCAAGAGAATAGGGTGGTCAAGTGGTTAGAGCTCTCGTCAGAAAAACCAGAATTCGATTTCCGATATCTCTGTCTGGCTTCCGGGGAACCCCCTTGCTGGGAAAATAAGAACAGACACACTGCCTCCCCAACATGCATGAAAGTTCTGGTTGTTCATCCACTTCCCGACATTAAAGCAGAATCCGAGTGTTGGGTACACATCCGTTTGACAGATCTGTCTGATTTGTATGAAGACTGTTGGTTCCTTGTCTCTCAGGCAGATGCACTACGATTTCAAAGAAATGTCCCCA